GTTTTTACCTTAAAGAGTGTCTTACATTTTAAAACTGATTTATTTACAATGCAATTTTGTGACTACTATTGCTGTTAAAATATCAGTGCTAATAATCTTTTCTTATTTGATAGAAAAATGTTTATGGATTACACATTTCTGTTTAATATGTTTACCATAAGATCTTTATTTTTTCAATGAGTAAGAGCCTTAAATAAGTGATACAATTTTGGCTATGCCCAGTTTTTCTCCTCATGCCTCTATAAAATTTTGTTAAAATGCACTAAATTTATTTCAACAAAGTGATGAATCCAGGAAGGCTTTGCCTGTATGTTGACTGTATGAAAGATTAGAGCAGAAGAAAGTACAATATCATCTAGGAACTACTAGCAGAAGGAATGTGTCCTAAAGAGTTAGATGACTTCTGTACAGAAAATAACCTTAAAGTATCTCAATGTAGAAGATCAAACCATTCATCAATTAATTGAGGTTAGACCTTTTTTACTTGTTACTTTTGCCACAAATTATGATTAAAACAGAGTGCTAAACTATCCTTGTACCTAATCACGAGTGTGCAGTGCCTAAACATAACACTCTAAAATAGAAAGGTTGAGAGATATAGCCTGGATGTACACAATTGTGACCTAATACCATCAAACTAAAAAGTTTTTGCAGAGCAAAAACCATCAAGAAAATGAAAAGATAATGCACTGAAAGACAGAACATATTTTCCAATGATACATCTGATAAGGGATTAATATCCAAAATGTATAAAGAACTTATACAACTCAACACTAAAAAAACAAACAATCCAATTTAAAAATGAGCAAAGAACCCAAATAGACACTTCTCCAAAGAGGACATGCAGATGACCAATAGGCATATGAAAATGTGCTCAATGACACTAATCATCAGAGAAATGCAAATTAAAACCACAATGAGATATCTGCTAACATCTATCAGAATGATTATCATCAATAAATCAACAAACAACATGAATTGGAGAAAACGTGGAGAAAACAGAATCTCTTCTGAACTATTGGTGGGAATGAAGATTGGTACACCACTGTAGAAAGCAGCATGAAGTTACCAAAAAAATTACAAATAGAACTGCCTTATGACCTAGTAATTCCAATCTGGGGATTTACCTGAAGAAATCTGAAACATTAATTTGAAAGAATATATGCATGCCTATGTTCATTGCAGCATTATTTACAATAGCCAAGCTTTGGAAGCACCCAAGTAGATGAAAAAAGGAGATTAAAAAAGCTGTGGTACATTTACACAATGGAATACTACTCTACTGTAAAAAGAAGAAAATTTTACCTTTTGCAACAGCATGAATGAATCTGGAGAGTATTATGCTAAGTGAAATGAGCCACTTAGAGAAAGACAAGTAACATGCTTTCACTTCTATGTGGAATCTAATGAACAAAATAAGCTAACAGACAATATAGAAATAGACTTATAGATAAAGAAAACTGACAGCTATCAGAGAGGAGAGGGTTTTGGGGGGCTGGGTGAATAAAAGTGAAGAGATTAAGAAAAAGACTCATAGACACAGACAACAATATGACGATTCAGTAGGAAAGGTGGGGATAGCTAGAAGAGGGTAATGGGAGATAAATAATGATGCCATGGGGTAGTGAACACACCACACAACATGGAGATGATGTATTGTAGAATTCTACACCTGAAATTTACATCATTTTATTGACCAGTGTCACCTCAAAAAATTTAATTTTAAAAATTTGTCATTGCATATCTACTTTGTAAGAATTTATTTAGAATTACAAGACTATGTCCACATTGTCATAAGAAAACTCTATTGCTTAGATATTAAAATAAAGAACAAACTAACAGTAACCAGAGAGTGGGGGCAGAAGGATAATAGAGGAAAGACCATCAATGAAAATGTATAAAGGACACATAGATAAAGCCAAAGTGGGTTTGTTCAAGACTGGGAGGCAAGGATGGGTGGGGTGGGGGGCATGGTGGGGTGGAAATGGATACAAGTGTACTTGAAAAACCATAAAAATTTTTTAAAAAGGAAACTCTATTGCTTAAAAGTTTAAAGTCACTCAGAAAATTTTGTCAGGTATAGTCACTCTGAATATAAGTAGTGTTCTAAAGAAATATATATATTTTAGTGGCATAAAATTTAAAACAACTATTGTTTTCTTGGCTGTTTTAGAAATTTCTCTGATCTGGTGAAAAAAACATATGCCATATTTGTTTATACTTTAAGAAATTAAAATGTATTTTACATCATCAATTTTTAAAAACAATATTTTCTATCTAATATTAAACAATTTCACCTTATTATTGTTTTCTCTTTAAAAGCTATTGCATAATATAAGAACGTGTTCTCTTTTCTTACTGTTTCTTACTGTTCTTATGTATTCTCTTATTCTTATTTAAAAATAAATATATAAATATAAGCATACCTATATTTCTATATAGGTAGTTTTTATTCCTACTGATACTCTAGTTTCACTGTTCATTAGGTTAAATTATTTTAAATGAAATTTAATTATACAGACTTCTTTGGGATTCTGGCCAATATGAAGGCATAGGTAGATACACTTTGCGTCCTCACACAACCAAAAGAAGGACAACAAATTTAAAAACAAAAAACAACCAGAACTGCCAGGAAATAGAACTGTATGGAAGTCCAATGACCAAGTAGTTAAAGAAGAAACATTCATCCAGACAAGTAGAGGACAGAGATACACAGCCAGGGCAGATAGGATGCACAGCAAGGCCACTGGAGGACTGGGCAGGCAAGGCAGCGAGTGGCTTGGGGCCCCACATTTGTGTGTGGATAAACCAGGAAGAACAACTGGGGAGTGAGACAGACCGCTCAACCCAGAGTTCCAGCGTGGAAAACTAAAACCTCAAAAACCTCAGGCTGTAAAAAATTGTGGTGGCTCCCATTGTAGAAAAAACTCCCAGCCTCACAGAACAGTTCTTTGAAAGACATGCAGGGTACTAGAATGTACACAAAACCCTTCCACCCAGGGAATCAGCACCAGAAGGGACTGGTTTGCTTGTGGGTATTGCGATTGTGATTGAAAGCAGGTGAGAGCTAAGCAAGCAGCATTTTTCCCTTTTGGACCTCTCCCCCACATACAGAGCCACAACACAGTGACATGGGTTGCCTTACCCTAGTGAATACCTAAGGTTCCACCCCTTACTACATGACAAGCCTGCCAAGACAAAGAAATGTGGCCCAAATGAAAGAACAGATCAAAACCATAAAAAAAAACTAACAACAAAGAAATGGCCAATCTCTCAGATGCAGAGTTCAAAACACTGGTAATCAGGATGTGCGCAGAAATGGTTGAGTATGGTTGCAAAATAGAAGAAAAAGTGAAGGCTATGCAAAGTGAAAAAAATACAGGAAACCAATGTAAAGGAGGGGAAACTGGAACTCAGATCAACAATTTGGAAAAGAAGGAAGAAATGAACATTCAACTGGAACAGAATGAAGAAACAAGAACTCAAAGAAATGAGGAGAGACTTAGGAACCTCCGGGACAACTTTAAATGTTCCAACATCTAAGCCATAGAGGTGCCAGAAGGAGAAGAGGAAGAGCAAGAAATAGAAAACTTACTAGAAAACATAATGAAGGAGAACTTCCCCAATCTGGCCAAGGAAAGAGACTTTCAGGAAGTCCAGGAAGCTCAGAGCATCCTAAAGAAGTTAGACCCAAGGAAGTACACACTAAGGCACATCATAATTACATTACCCAAGTTTAAAGATAAGGATAGAATCTTAAAAGCAGTAAGAGAAAAGGATACAGTTACCTACAAAGGAGTCACCTAAGACTATCAGCTGATTTCTCAAAAGAAACCTTACAGGCAACAGGAGGCTGGAAAGAAGCATTCAAAGCTATGAAAGGCAAGGACCTACATCCAAGATTAGTCTGTCCAGCAAAGCTATCATTTAGAATGGAAGTGCATGCTCTAGCTGGTGTGGCTCAGTGGATTGAGCACTGGCCTGTGAAACAAAGGGTCACCTGTTCAATTCCCAGTCAGGGCATGTGCCTGGGTTTCAGGCCACCTCTCCCAGTAGAGGGTGCACAAGAGACAACCACACACTGTTGTTTCCCTCTCTCTCCCTCCTCCTCTCTCTAAAAATAAATAAGTAAAATGTTTTTTAAAAAGAATAGAAGGACAGAAAAAATGCTTCCCAGATAAGGTAAAGTTAAGGAGTTTATCATCACCAAGCTTTTATTATATGAACCATTAAAGGGACTTATCTAAGAAATAGGAGAAGATCAAAACTATGAGCAGTAAAACACTAACAAACTCACAACTATCAACAACCAGATCTAAAGAAACAAAAACAAACTAAGCAAATGATAAGAATAGGAACAGAACCACAGAAATGGAGATCACATGGAGGGTTATCAGCAGGGAAAGGGTAGGGAAAGAGTAGGGGAAAAGGTACAGGGAATGAGAAGCATAAATGGTATGTACAAAATAGACAGGGAAAGGTTAAGAACACTACAGGAAATGAAAAAGCCAAAAAACTTTTATGTATACCCCATGGACATGAACTAAGGGTGGGGGAAATGCTGGTGGGAAGGGTGGTTCAGGGAGGAAGGAAATAAAGGAGAGAAAAAACTGGGACAACAGTAATAGCATAATCAATAAAACATACTTAAAAAGAAATTTCATTATACAAATAAAGTTTTTATATCATAGAAAAGTATTGTTGACAAAGAATGCAATATTTTCCAAAATATATGAAAACTGATGTGGCTCAGTAGATTGTGAACCAAAGCGTTGCTGGTTCTCTTTATGTTCATAAGTGGTGTCTATTATTGATATCAGCCTTAAGATAGAGACTTAATTGGAATTCTTTCTTTAAAAAGTAACATTCATCCATTGCGTATCACCACAGTTTTAATATGAGTATTAAATAAAATAGAGACAAACAATAAACTTCAATTGATTTCTCTGCTTTTCCTTTAGGATCACCCAGTCAACCCATTTATGGATATTCCTTATCCCATGTCAGAGAATAATTTCCCTCCTCCTGGCTCTCCTTCTGAGAATAATTTACCCAAGAACCTTGGGAATCCTAACACCGATCTAGTGAAACCCGCATATCCCTGGATTCTCAATGCTCCTAGAGCGCCCCTTAACCGCATTTCTAGTTTTCCCACACCTACTTGGTTGGATGCACCTCGTCAGAAGGATTCCTCTGCCATCCACACCTCAAACAGACCTGTAAGACCTTTTGTCCAATCCAGTGCAGTTGACCCAATAAAGTATGTAGCTAAACCATCTAGTGCACCCCTGCCTTCTGCCCCAGCATGTGCGATTGAGCCTGCTGGGACCCAGACTGATGCAGTGGAGCATGCTTCAACCTCACCTGCTCCGTCCACCCCTGCTCCGGCCACCCCTGCTCCGGCCACCCCTGCTCCGGCCACCCCTGCTCCGGCCACACATGCTGCCCCGGAAACCTATTCTTCTACTTCTCTTGATCTGGTGGGTTACCTAAATCTTATTCCTGTAATACATTTTTAGGACAAGAAAAGAAACATAGTACCTCCATAAGTGAATATATCAGCTTAAATATTTTGAATAGCATTATTGAAATAATGATTGACATGCATACAGCAAACTACATGCACTGCAAGTATATTCTTGGATAAATTGTGTCGATGAATACATCCCAGAAAAAAAATCACTACAATAATGACTATATTCACCAGAGTCAAAAGTTTCTTCCTATTCTTTATAATCCCACCCACCTGTTTCCTACCCCTAATCTATTTTCTGTCACTACAGATTGTTTGCATTTTCTAAAATTTTATATCAGCATACTCTATACAGTAAACTCTTACGTCTAGCTTTTTCTACTCAACATAATTGTTTTGAGACTTATCCATGTAGTTCAATCTATTTTTTGCAGAGTATTATTTTGTTATATGGATATATCATAATTTTTACTCATCTGTTGATGAAGTTTAATTTCCAAACTGAATGTCATTTATTTGTTTCCATGTAATTGTTTATTTGTTGCATACTATCCTGGCTTAAACCTTCAGTTCAATGTTGAATAAAAGTAATGGGCACCCATCCCTCTCTTATTTATCTCCAGGCAGTAAACTAGGGCTAATCATAGAATTCATCGTATTTGCTTCCTGACTCTTAGGGATCACTGCCATTCAAAGCCTAATATTGTTCAGATTTTCAGAGACTGTTGCTTTTTAATAATTTTAGTACAATAAAATATTTTTAGGCAAGAGGGTAAATTCCTGTAACTCATCTTGACCTAAAGTGTACTTTTCTAACCTTTTTTAAAACAATAATTTTTTGCAAAAATATTTAAGAAGCATATAGATGCTAAGTTTTAGTAGATGTGGTCCAAACAATTCAGCTATTTTGTAAAAGGAAAAGCTGGGTTCCAAACTATGTAGAAGATATTCTGAACCATGGCACAGGAGGAAAATTGAAGCAGCCCAAGTGCCCACCAATAGATGAGTGAATAAAAAGCTGCAGTACATTTATATGATGGAATACTTTGCAGCTATAAAAAAGAATGCACTGTTACCTTTTGCAACAGCATGGATAGACCTAGAGTGAAATAAGTGAAATGCTAAGTGAAATAAGTCAGACTGAGAAAGACAAATACCATATGATTTCACTTATATGTGGAATCTAATGTACAAAATAAACAAAATAGAAACAGACTCATAAATACAGAGAATAGACTGACAGTTGTCAAAGAGGGAGAGTGGGGGACTGGGTGAAAAGGGTGACTGGATTAAGCAGTACAATTTGGTACAAACAGAATAGTCATAGAGATGTAGATTACAGCATAGGAAATACACTCAATATCATAATAACTATGTATGGAGCCAAGTGGGTACTTGAAACAGAAGGGGTACCACTCTGTAAAGTATATGATTTTCTACCCACTTTGATCTACATCTGAAACTAATTTAGAATAATAACGAATATAAATGGTAATTTAAAAATTAAAAAAGAAATGTGAGCTTAAATCCACCAAATAATACATTCTTCAGTACATTGCCACTAACGGGATACTTCTAAAAATTATTTCCTACAAGGAGGTACAAACTTTTCTTCTTGTTCCTTTGTTCCTTGATTCTGATAGGAATCAGGATCAAGTTAAATAGTTTACTGGAACAATTCATGGGGGTATAAAGAGCTACACTTATTCTACAATGCTTCACACATTAACACATTCATCCAGTAGGTTTCTTTGACACAAAGCATTTTCCATTTACCAGTGTATACCCATAATTTATGGCTCACACAGGGATAGAGCTGAAATGTTTAAAAGTATGAATAAAAAGAAATATAACTTGACAAGAAGGGGTACTGAAAACACTGCTAATGATTTTGAACATTATCCTATAGCCAAAAAATGTATGAAGGACATTTTTTGAGAAAGATGATTTGACTAGTTGTCTGTTTCCAAAAGCTAAATATGGTGGCAATGTAGAGCTTTTGAAGTATGAGTTTTCAAGAGATCAGAAGAATACAACTTCTTAAAGAAGAAAGATTATTAAGAAAAGACAGGCCCAATATAATGAAATTAAGTATAGTTCATCATGTATGAAAAGTCTTTCTATTTTATAGGTAAAAAAATGAAATTCTTCAAGGAAGAGAGTATCATGTACTTGTTTCTGTAAGTTATATTAGTAGTGAGATTTTAAAGTAACACATTAAATAAACTAAACCTCATAATCTGAAACTAGCTTTGAATATATTTTTGCTACATGGAACATGAAAGTGGGATGTGGAGGGGTACCAGCAGTCTGTGTCTCAGAACCTCTGCAGTTATGAACTCGTGTCCTGTGTAAGGAGCTCAGGCACCTTAGGAGCAACTAGAAAGTTCTTCAAAGTGATCCAATTTAATTACAACTTAAATATTCTAAAATAATAATTGTCAGTGTAGGAAAGAAATTTCAGATGGGGGATGGATTTGAATTGTAAAAGAGAAGGACCATTATTAAAGTTCTCAGAGATTTTTCTGCATGCTATTCATTCAGCCACCATGCTTAACCCACACCCAGGGATTCGTTTTAGTGACAAATAAACAAACAATTAGGATCTGAAATCTCCCACAGCTCACCTTCTTCCCCACAACCTTACCTCCATTCCCCATTATACAGTGTCCTGGGAAGAAAGGCACTGCTCACAAAGCTCAATAAGATCCATTCTGTTTTAGTCATCTAAGCAAAAAATTTACCCTTTTCCAAGTTCTCATTCCTCATTCTTTCCCAAGGCTGTTCCATTTTTATTGTTATAAATATTCCCTGGACAGGAGAATAACAAGGCTTTATTTGCTTATCAGCCAAATCAGAATTTCTACTGAGGTGACATCAGTAAAGTAGAACTGAAAACCAAATGTGTGATGATGGTTAATCTTGTTAGTGATGCCTCTTAAGAGCAATGATGGCCAAAAAAATTTAGAAGTCTTCATTTTTTACTTAAACCCTGAATATTGCTATATTCTTTTGGTTTTACTTATTTTATATTATCTAAAAGAATATCAGTTAGTGAATTGGTTCAAGACATTAGGTAAATTTAGTTCATATTCTCATGAAGTTTATATTTGTATTAGTATCTTACTACATTAATTATTTAATTCACACCAGGTAAGAGTTATTTTTCTAGAAACATCTCTTAAGGCAGAGAAGAAATTCTACTTCAAATTATTCAGATTGAGGAGACTATCCAAATATAATACACACACACACAAAAATAAACATCATGTGTAATATATACATGCGTACAAATAAATCATAACATTGAATTAACAGGACATTTTTAAATTACTTCATTATTACAAGAATGTATAATATTGCAGGCAAATTTGATTTTCATGAACATGTATTTTAATTATAGCATGGATTTGTAGATGACAATCCCAGCGATTTTGCTTTAAGTGCAAGTAACTTGGTAATTTTATTATACGATACTAATATGTCATTTTCCTTTTTCAGATACTGGTGCAGAAGTGAGTGAAATCTATAAAAATTACTTTTTTCCAAGGATTTTCATTTTGTTATATTAAAAATATCAGTTGCACTATCTAAGTTGGTTTGTGATGTTTTTCATTGAACTTAGTTTATATAAAAACAATCTTTATATTGTACTCTTTTTCAAATATTTACAAGGCTACTTCCTAAATATATAAATAATAATTTTCAGAGACTTAAATATCTGAAGACAATATGTGCCCTTTCTTTTTCCAGGTTTCATTTTTTTATTTTTAAGTATATTTTATTAATTATGCTATTACAGTTGTCCCATTTTTTCCTCCTCTTTATTCCCCCTCTGCCTGCACCTCCCACCCTCCAGCATCCCCCCCCGTAGTTCATGTCCATGGGTTGTACATACAAGTTTGTGTTTCCTATAATATGCTTTTTGTTTTCTTTTCTTTAAAGATTTTATTTATTTTAGAAAGGGGAAGGGAGGGAGAAAGAGAGGGAGAGAAACATCATGTGTGGTTGCCTCTTGTGAACCCCCTACTGGAGATGTGGCCCACAACCCAGGCATGTGCTCTGACTGGGAATTGAACAGGTGACCCTTTGTTTCACAGGCCAGTGCTCAATCCTCTGAGCCACACCAGCCACAGCATTTCTTTCCTTTACTTTTTTATTGTTGTTAAAGTACAATTGTCTCCATTTTCAACCCCCATCCCTCCCCCTCACCTCACCCATCACCACCTCCCAACTTTGAACCCACCCACTTTGGCTTTGTTCAATGTGTCCTTCATACATGTTTCTTGATGCCCTCCCCATTATCCCTCTACCCCCTCCTCTCTGGTTATTGTCAGATCGTTCTTTATTTCCATTTGTAACCTCCTCCTGTCTATTTTATCCCTACTAATTATGCTTTTTATTCCCTATAACTTTCCCTCCCATTCTTTTCCTCTACCTCCCCACTGATAACACTCCATGTCATCTCCATTTCTGTGATTCTGTTCCTGTTATAGTTGTCTGCTTAGTTTTTTATTTTGTTTTTTAGGTCAGTTGTTGATAGCTGTGAGTTTGTTGTCATTTTACTGTTCATAGTTTTTTTTATCTTAGTCTGTTTCTTAAATAAGTTCCTTTAATATTTCATATAATAAGGGCTTTATAATGATGAACTCCTTTAATTTGACCTTATCTGGGAAGCACTTCATCTGAATGATAGTGCTAAATGATAGCACTCCTTTCATTCTAAATGATAGCTTTGCTGGATAGAGTAAGCTTGGATGTAGATCCTTGTCTTTCATGATTTCAAATACCTCTTTTCAGCCCCTCCTTGCCTGTAAGGTTTCTTTTGAGAAATCAGCTGATAGTTTTATGGGCGCTCCTTTGCAGATAACTCTCTCCTTTCCTCTTGCTGCTTTTATGAGTCTCTATCTTTAACTCTTGGCATTTTAATTATGATGTGCTTTGATGTGTTCCTCCTTGGGTCCAATTTCTTTGGGACTCCCTGGGCTTCCTGGACTTCCTGGAAGTCTATTTCTTTTGTCAGATTGGGGAAGTTCTCTTTCATTA